CACCTAACGGTTCATCTACGGCTAGCTTTTATTATCATTAAAGTTCAACATTGTTCTTAGGAGTTATAACGTTCATGGGAGCCAATTAATATAAAAATTAATCCTCTTTTAATATAGCAATAAAATACACATTTATATTTTAATATGGCAAAACATGCGTTCCTGTCTTCCCTCTATATATACTTGCTGATTTTTGTTGAGGAAGGGAAGATATACGTACATTTAGAAGTACTTTTGGTCAGTATAATACGGAGTAGTATATATTGATGTTCGGCCAGCTACTTTTGAAAAAATTATTATTTTTGAGTTAAAACGTCCCTAATAATTTTACTTTGCTGGATTAATATAATTTTCACTCTCGTTGTTCTGTTACCGGCTAACGCCGAAGAGCTCGTTTTATCTTGGGGAAAGGTTTTCGCTAGTCGGAAATACTTTCTTGAGGACGGCGTTTACGCGACTCGAGCTATATTATTTTCTAACGATTTTTTGCAAGTTTATCCGGCGAATTCCTCCAACACTTTTAAGTTTAAATTTATATATCACACTCACAGAATTTTATCTCTCATTAGCATTTAATTGGTTAATCTCCTTCGTACTAGATTGGATTTTAAGTACATGTTTACAAAGACATATATTGAAATTTTAGCTATAAAAACCTTATATAACTTTAAAAAATGTCAGATATTTATCATTGTTCAAACTTTGGGTACTATTTAAGTAGTATGATGATTGTTTGCTTATTGGTAATTTCTGATAATAAAAGTCAACATTAAGGAATTCTCATAAAATGTGTTTTGGTAGGTTCCATTTTAAGATGTTCATATTTTTAATTTGAATAGTAGTCAATTTGAATCATTGTACTTTTACACCATTCAAATGGAGTTAATTCCAAAATGTAAATATTAGGCGTAACAAGGCTTTATTTGTGATTTCTAAAGTGGCCTTTCATATGGAGAATTGTTTGACTTCCATAGTTCCATTCAATCTCAAGTTGCATACAAGAGCTTTGAGTTGTGAATTTAAAAGATTCGCACATGATAGAATAGAAAAAAACATGAGAAAATGGGTTTACGTACTCTTTACGATGTAGATAAATAATGATACATTTGCATAAAAATGATATGAATGAGATAATTATTTTGAAACTCGCTCTGTATGTGAGATTTGTTAAAGCTCAAACCTCAGGGTTATTCCTTAGGAGGGTTGTCCTAAACAATTACTCAAATAAAGCTTATGTACAAAGATGTGCTAAAGTTATTATGTCTAAAAATGAATATAATCATAATTATTAATAGTTACTAATATAGTTATTTTGTACGTGTGAGAAGTCACGTGCATTTTTTCCCATCATTTTTAATTTAGTCATATGTATGTAGTTGTTTCATTTCTTAAATAGTAAAAGAAAGAATTCTATTTTTAAGTGAAAGAAAGAATTCTATTAGACCCACACAATTATTCACGTGTTCTATTTATATATCCAGTTTATTATTGTTGCACTTATTATTATTGTTAAATTATTATCGCTAATTCTATTAATTTCTACTCCCTCTGTCCCATTAGAAGGTTCTCACTTTCCTTTTTTGGACGTCTCATATAAAGGTTCTCATTTCCATTTTAGAAAACAATTAACAATCTTAAGTGACAAAATAGTCATTAAATATTAAAAATAATACATTTATAACCTCACAGTACGTTATCAATACTACATTATAATAATATATACATATTAAAATTATTTCTCAAAATATACTCAAAATACTTTATTTAATTATTGCCTAAATAGTCGTGCCGTTTTGTTATGGGAACCTTTCAACGAGACGGATGTAGTATTATTTTTTGTTTTCATTACTATCATTATTGTTTTTGTTATTTTTATGATTATTGTAATTAATTAATGTTAGTAATCATTGTCATATTAATGAATGTACTAAATTGATGAAATTATGAGTGAAATAGTTTAAATATGATTGTTATATTTAAAATATATTTTACCAATCGAATTAAAAAATAATAAATGGAAAAATCTAAAATTATATTTTTCAGCCAATTAAATTAGGAAATTAACTCCATGTTCAATTACTATCAAACAGAGACCGAGTGTATTTTTATCTAATGTTAGTGTCTCTAATATGATATGCAAGTCAACTTTTTGACATGATCTAAAATTTAATGATATGATATGATGAACTTTCGGAATTGATTTACATCATTACTATTCAATTTGATCTGAATTTTTTAAATTAGATTTAAACTAGTGATATGCTTCTTTTCTTTTAACTTCTAATTAACTAGTTTTCACTTCTAAAAATAAATGTATAACTTCTATTTTGTGTTGTAATCCGAAAGGGAAAAAAATGAAATTGTTTTCATAAAAAACAATATTCAAAATATTAATGTTAGCCTGAAAACAATAAGAATGCTTTATAAATGCGATTCACCTAAAATAATCAAGCACTCTTTCAAGTTAAGATAAACGAATAAAGCCAGAATCACAACTTATAGAAAGAAAGTCATAACTTGTATTTTTATGAGGCTACAAAAGCACGAGTTTCAATAAAATATGAAAGTGTGACATTACTTAGAAAACAATCAGTAGCCCTCATCCACACTTTAGCTCATGAGCTCTTAAGAAAAATAATGAAAAACAGAAACTCAAGACAAGAGTAGACTAACCTCAATCAGAAAGTATCACAACCAAAATATGCATATACTAATAGAACCATGAAAATAACTTCCAATGAATCAAATCATGACTTATAGCTTAAACGTGAGGTACATTAACAATATTACCATTATAACATTTCATCGAATAGTCGGTGAGCATAACTTAAGTTCACAATTAGAAAACAACTGAAAGACATAACTTGAACTCGATATCTACTTCAACAAGATTTCATTACAAATTTATATTTTACTAATCTCATCTAAACCATAACTTGTGAGCAAAAAATCATAAGAGGATTTAAAGAAAAAATCTTTATCAAGGTTTAGCACATACAATTAATCATGGATATAATTTAAAATTAGATACCTCAATTTGCAACTATCCAATGAAATTGATAAAGGAGGTTGAAGAGAATCAAATATTATCGACTTGTCTATACGAACATAATTTGGTTCATCACCAAGACTCCTTGATGACATGTCATTAAATTAGGGATAGAATCACACCGTTCGTACAACTTCTCATTTTAGTTGAAGAGTAATGGATCGATAAAAGATGAAAAGATGCAAGAAGAATGAGTGAGGGGGGGACAAACCTAGAGCAGAGTCGGATACATTGAGAAATAACTTTGTGCTATCATCGGATGAGTTTAATCGGATGCTTTTTATTACTTCTCTTTTAGCGGAATAGGGCTTCTCAGCAAAGGTCGTGTAAGGAAAAATAACAAGGAATTACAACAAATGTGTCATAGCTGGCACGCGCGTTGCAACAGATTAACTTCATTTATTACTTTTTAGAGTGAGATCAATTTACAAAACCATTTCAAACTCTAATTAACAACCGTAGAGTAATCGGCTAGAAGCCATTACATTGCGAAAACATGCATCTTTTAGGGGTGTTTGGATTTGATTCTTAAACTGCTTCTGCTCCTTCAGGGAACTGAAATAAGAGTTGGAGTGTTTGGGTGACAGTGCAAAAGTACTTCCGGTGCTCTAATTACTTCTAGAAACAGTTTTTTAGAAGTTGAGGGAGATTAAGTTCTGACAACTGGTTCTGATTCTGCTTTAAAAAAGTAGAAGCATAATTGGTTCCAAACGCTCCCTATTCAACGTTAAATTTACTCATTCTATTCTATTTATATACTAGTATAAGAAATCAATTAACTAATTTAAGTACAAATTTACCCTCACAAAGCCCTGCGTGTTTATTTCCCCAAATTTCACTCTTGTGCCGACCGGTGTTCGCTGCGATCGATGTTGGGAGTCGATCGATGTGGTGGCTGCTGCTCTTGTATTTTAGTTCTCAGATTCCGCCATGACAATTTCTAGCTTTTTTCGAACTGATGACAATTTTCACCTAATATATTAATATTGTGTGCTAATATTTTCATCTTGTGAATTACACATAAGTTCTATGTGTATAATGGTCAAAAGAATTGAGTATACATAAATGAATATTTGAGCATGTTAGAAAATTCAAATGAGCATACACAAATAAAAATTTGAATACACTAGAGAATTTAAATGAGGTACACAAATGAAAATTTGACCACTTAAGATTTTAAGTGAGCTTTTTGAATTTTTTGATACTCATTTCGTAAGTTATGTATGCTCATTTGATATTTGTGTAATGCTCATTTCAAATTGTCATATTCATGCTTATTTTAGAAATTCAATATTACATTAGTTTCACATATTAGACTCATACGGGTTCGTTGTAGATATTTTAAAAATAATGAGTTTCATATTAAACTCAAATGAGTATAAACATAAAAAAATGAACATACAAAACTAAATATTAAGCACATTAAAAATGATTTTTATTTTAAACTCACATGCGTATAACGCCCAAAATCAACGGGCATACACAAATGAGCTTTTGAATTTTTTGAAACTCATTTTGTAAAATGTGTACGCTCATTTGATACTGCTTTATGCTCATTCTAAAATGTTGCACATATCAAACATATCATACTACATTAGATTCACATATTGAAATTAATTATAAACATTATATAAGAATTTTTTATAAACGAAAAAATAATAAAAAGAAACTGAATTAGAAATTATGAAGCAAAGATTACTGATGTTCTATGTTAGACTCCTAATACTCAAAAGAACAGACTTGATGCTCATCCAAATTACATCAATGCTTATTTAAAAGAAAGCGCGATTTTCATCAAAATTACAAAACTTCCGCCGACTTACCGTGCCAATCATACAGTCGGTTGCATGATACGAAGTATATGCTTCCATCCAATTCACCAAATAATAATGCCGAACAAAAACAGCCAACGGTTTTCCATGTACTACACCATATTTCTGTTTAAATTTATCGTTGATGCTTTCTAATACTCCGTACAAATCTAAAAAACCAAATCAATCATAACATAATACGACTCTAAATCTCTAATCTGTGTTGAACAGAAGACACGAGTCCACATATATTGAAAAAGAAATTCCTATAAATCTCCAATCATGTTGAACATTCCTATAACATATAATTTCATCAAAAGTTCTCACTAATACAGAAAAAATTGAATCTTTCTTGATAATTACACACAATATTATCTGTCACCAGTGCTTAAACAAAGCGCTAAGATATGTACATATATTGATGAATGATGAAGCTTATTGTATCCTGTATTTCAATTCACTGGCAGTTCTTTTTAATGTAGTCCCCTCCCTCTTTCGCAGAGAGAAAACCACGGCAGATGGCACCAATAACTGCTAGTCAAGAGCAGCTCAAGAGTAGTAAACATGATGTAAGAAATGCCAGGAGGAAAGCCTTAGTTAGTTGTAGCTCTGTAGGGTTCCATTTGCAGAATGAATGGGTGGGCGGGTCTTGGGCGAGTCATGAATCATCATAAGAGGCATGAGATGTAGGAGTACATCCAGGGTGGAAGATATCTTCAGATCCACAACAATGCCAATATTGGGTAATCTTACCGGAGTCTGGGGTATTCATGCTGCCTCCACTGTACACACTTTCAAACTTCCTCTTTGTTTCTCCTGATGATCAGTGGGTGGTTGTTAAGCACTGCTTTGAATCAAGTCTCGTTGGTATACAAATATGTAATTGAGTCGATACACATATTTTACTTCATATTATTGCACAAAGCACATTTTTGGTAATGAAGCAAGTCAAGCAACACATTTTGTTCAGTACACCGTGTTTATTATTTGGTGGACATCACATAATAATTTACTTAAAAAAAGGTTTTCTATAAAAAACATATAGAGCAAAGCTTTTAAAATATATTATACTTATGGTGTCTGAACGTTTCCACTATGAGAATATTTACCACTTCTGATCTTTCTATTCTACCCTATTCAGAATTTAGTCCTCAGCCGGCTTGGCAAAACTTTGTATTCGAAAGCATCCAAAAAAATGCCCACAGATGTAATAAAATGAAAATCGTGAACTAAAAGCGAAAAAGACACTATAATCCACCCCAGAAGTGAAATAATGCCTTCATTCTTAAATGAATTCTTTTCGCAGAAGCCTACTTTAAACAAGATCCTCAGCCAATAAAATAAAACTATTTAGACGAATATGCTACTATGTATGATTTAGAATATGCAAGCAACTAGACAGCTATGTGAGTCTGTGATAGACTAAACTAGATCAGAAAACAAACTAATATTCCCAAAGGTAGCAGCTTGTTTGAAGAATGTCTTTCAGTTGAAAATAAAACACAAATAAATCCTACTTGCAACACATTATGCTAGAGAAAAGAGGAAAAAATTGCTAAGCTAAGTTAGTCTTTATGTGTGATTAACTTAGGCAAATGGAAATGAGATATGATATACTCCGCACGACTTACATATTTAGATTTCTTAGTATTTGTATAAAATAGAAACTAATAAATAAAGTAAAATACGTTTGAAGCTTTGAACAAATATCTAATGAATTTATAGAGTTTGAACTTCTTCTTTACAAGTATTTCTCTCAAACTTTGTTTCCTCTCGACTTTCCTCTTTATTTTCTTCTGTATTCTCATTCCTAGTATGTCATGGATTCCTAACAGACCCTTAGTCATTGCTCCATTGGTCAATTAATACAATTTTTAGGAAATCAATGTACACCAACTTTAATTAGTCATCACTTGATACAAAGTTGGGTGTAAAGCATTTGTGGAGCAAGTAGCATGATCTTTAGAACATAACATATTTGCCTAATAAAATTTTCAGGAAAAAATAAGCACAGAAGTGATGTATCAATCATCAAAACATCATAAGAAGATGTTAACTAAATAGGTAAGTACAACTGTGTAAGGAGAGCTAAGGATAGAATCATAGAAAACTATGAGCTGGAAAATATACCACCAAAATGGGCAGTGTGGTAACGGCAAGCACCATGGTGATTGAGCAGTGGGTCAAACTGATTCTTGCATCTTTTGCACGTCCTGAAAGTGTTATGAGCTTGTTTCTCTGAGCACCCAACGGCGAACTTTCTGGAACACCGCTTCCCCAATTCCAACACCTTACATACGATGCTTTGTATAGGAACTTTGGTTGCACTTAGATGATTCACGGATGAAAATACTGGTGTTGAAGTGTTTGGACTTATTTGCATCGCCATTACAAATTTGCAAATGGAGCACCAATGCTTGTGTCACAGCTGGGGCTGGTTATTACCAAAAAAACATTAAAAGTAGGAGCCTTTTGAATTCAAGGTTAGAATAAGCTATTTAAATTTACATCTTAAAGACTAGAAATATTTAAATGTATTTCCTCACCCATTTCATGCGTCCTGTTTTGAATTGAGTATTAAGAAACTACACAAATGTTCTTTTCAAGTGTAATAATTGAAGCCAAATATGATAAATTTTGATACATAAAATTAGATATTAAAAGAGAGCTCAGTTGAGTGCATAAATTCAAGAATCAAGACTACACGTTTAGTGCTTATTCCAACTATTTTTTATTATAAATCACATTTGACTACCAAACGAATTCTAAATTAATAACCTACGGTTTGGAAATTACGCATATGGATTTTTATTCCCAACATAACTAAAATCTTATTTTTAATTTACTCGATGTGTACCCCCTCTGGTTCACAAATATTCTACCCCCGCTATTCAATCTCGAGCTGTACTAGGGGTGTACACATTTTGGTGTACACTTTTCGTACACTCGTTTGCCTCATGCACAGAGAATTGTTTGTCCATAGACAACTCTATGGAAAGATGTACGAAAGGTGTACACCAAAATGTGTACACCAAGCGTTTTTCTTCAATCTCTCTATCACACCATTGGACTGTCTAGAGTGGCGGATTCCACCATGGGGAGCAGCCGTCTCTAATGCTCCCTAGCACAGCCGGCTTTGCTGCTCACCAATCATGTTTGTCCTTCATCCGCACACCATGCTCCAGATTTGGCTCATTGTTCGTTCCTCTATCAATAAAATTGTTGTATGCCATTTGTGTTCAATTCATCATCTCCAGAAGACATTTCACATTTGTGCTTGCTAGAGGTTTGTGGCTGTAAAATATCCATTTCAGGTCTTTGGTACAGACCTCTAAATGCCAGACCCAGAAGTCCAAACAATCACATCTATGTCATGAACCCAACTATTCTGCTAAAATCTCAAGTAAATTCACGACTAAGCTCTGCTACATTACCTACGGAAACGGGACAGCTAAAATCATCTAATCAATTTAACGACTTTAACAATTCGACGACTGATCTCCCATTCAACACGCCACACACAAATCATTAAATCGAACAACTAAAAGCACCCTAATCAACAGTGAAATTGATCATTAAATTCAAATGAACTTACCTTACTAATCGTGTCTCCTCCACCGTAGCCTGACTGTTATTAATGAATATATCTGTACATATCTGCATGATTAAACAATAAAAGTCGGCACCCCAACTTGCCATAAAAACAACACTGCAGCACAAGGGATCTCGATCTTACCCAGGCAAGACCCTTCACTTTTTTTTCGATCGCAGTCAGGGTGGGTTATCTTGTAGTGAGTAAGGCTAACCTTAACTAGCCTCATTCACAATGTTTTAGAGCCTCTTCAAAAGTTAACAAAATATCATTTTTATATTATACAGAGTACTATGTAAATGATTTTCAATGAAAAATAATTAGCTGGTCAAAGTTAGCAAAAATTGTAAAGTTTTTTGGGACGGAAGTAGTAAAGTAGTACTCCCTCCGTCCCGCTGTTAACTTCCTACTTTGACCTACACAGATATTTTTAGGAAATAAATTTGAATTTCCTGTTTAGACACTGTTTGACACTGTTTAGACACTGTTTTACACTGTTTAGACACTGTTTTGCACTGTTTGACATTATTTTAATGTAGGATAACTTTCCATTTAGAGAAAATGAGAAGATGATTTTGGGACGGCCCAAAAAAGAAAGCAAGAAGTTAATAGCGGGACGGAATGAGTATTACCTTAGTCCCTTGTGTGTGGACGTAGAAGAGGCGGTACAGTTATTGATAATATTTCCTTCTTCCCAAATTGAATGATAAAATCAACTTTTTTAGTTAAGTCAATTCTTTTTATTCACTTAATTAAATATCAATTTTTAAATACATTTAATTTGTATTTCCGCAACTCTATAGAGATTTTGATGTAGTTTTTCAAATACTCTATATGTAAATTTTAATTATTATAATTGAATTAGTTATCAACATATAGGATTTAACTTAAATTAGTTGACCAAAAAGTGATGATTTTGCAGATCATTTTGGGACGAAGGTCAGAGGGAGTAGTAATTTTATGCCCTTAATATTCAATTTATAGAGTTAGAATAAGGTAAAAATGATTTAGAATTTCGTAAATTTTATCAAATTTAGTATGAGACAATCTTAATAGAAGAAATCGAGAAGGGAAGATGGGACAATTTTAGCAAAACGGAGGAAATACTTCCAATATCCTACATATTCTCCACAAATAAATGAGCTATCATGCCCCAGTTGTTATAGGTACGGTGATAGTGGTCTATGGTGACACCATACTTCCACACATAAAATGACGTTATTCACGCTTGTGTTTTAATTAAAGGGAAAATGAAAACTAATAATCCAATCTTTTAGTGGTCTTCTTACAATAGTCCCACCTTTTGATTATTCATGAATAATCCAACCTTTGCACCTCATCTTCATTCACTGGTCCCTGACCGGTTGATGACTTGCTATTCCAAGTTATTTTCTTATCTTTGCAAAATATTATCTTTGTGAAAGGTGAGATTTATGGTATAATGATTTGCAAAGATAAGAAAATAACTTGGAATAGTAGGTCATCAACCGGTCAGGGACCAGTGAATGAAGATGAGGTGCAAAGGTTGGATTATTCATGAATAATCAAAATGTGGGACTATTGTAAGAAGACCGCTAAAAGGTTGGATTATTAGTTTCCATTTTCCCTTAATTAAAAAAAACGTGAGTGACTCCGATGTATTGTCTCAGAGTCACTTGATGTTTTTGGGTGGGGTTGTAGACTTGTAGTTGCCTTTTGTAATAAAAACCTTTGAGTTTATATTATATGTAATTGATTATATATGAAAAAAATTATCTGAAATTTTCTCTGCCCAGGCCAATCTAATAAATCATCCTCACTATAACATTGGGAACATTTTTTTGTTAAAAAGGAAAATAACACAATCATTTAGAGATAACTCAAAAAGAAAATTAAATGGGACGACCAGACGAGCTTCATATAGACGAGAGCAATGACTTAATCGTTCAACCATTAATTATGTTTTACTTACAGACTTGATTGAAAAAGGACTTATTCTTTGAGCAAAAAATGTCTTAATCATTAAGCTGCACAATAGTAGTCATTCACATTATGACACCCCTTACATATATGTTTAGTCAATTTTTTAATTCAATTATGTATTCGGTATGTGTTAATAAATGAAATTACTCATTGCTAATATTAGGAATCGTCAATGGGCGGAGCTGAGTCACACAGACCCAAAACTAATGGATATGGGTTGGATCGGATTGCGCTCAATATAAAAATAACAACTAATAGACTGAGCTGGCTGGCCCACGTATCATGAATAGGGCTAGCCCTAGATGGGCCGGGCTCACATGAGAAAATGTAATTTTTTTCTGTGCAACACAAATTAGAATTGATCAACTAAGCGGGAGAAAAAAAGCAATACTTCTGAAAATGTACTAATAAACTAGACTTCAAATTTATCTATAGCTTATAAGTTTTTACAAGTACAATCTTCATATGTACAAATATCAGACTTATTATTCTAATATAAACTTCTCAAATTTTATCACAAGTCTTTATCATCTAACGATGAACTCCATTCTCTTCTATATCAACATTAGTTATCCAATCTGGATTGATGTAATAATATACATAATATATTACCTTACTTGATCCAATCTTTCTTTTTCTAGCTCGCGGTCATGAATTTACCATTGTCCAAACTTTTTACGAAAATCAATGATTTCATTGTATTCGGACTCAACCAAGATCTTGTCTCAAAAACCATGTGATACTATCATCTAATATTACTAGTTATGCATGTAGTGTAGAATTGACTAATAAGTAGTGTATAAATAGGCTTCCGGGTTGGGTCGTGCCAAACTGGGCTTCAAATACTATGCCCCATACCCATCCTTATAATACTGGACTAGGCTGGCCCATGACTCGTATGGACTGGGCTGGGCTTTTGGCAAAAGAGATGGACGGGCATCCACAAGTTCATGAGCTCACATGCTAATTGATGATCCCTCGCTAATATGGCACAACAATATTAATATACTTCATATGTTCTTTTTTTAATTGTAACATTTCCACATTCATTGCACGTTCTCAACACACAACTTTGACTGTTATTATATTTAATTTTACATTACAAAAAAAGTTTAAAAGTCAACCGATGGAAATTTGTAATGAGCTGAATTCAGTAGTACTTTAAAAAAATCACGTATATTAATAAATAAAATGTAGGTAAAGTAAAACATGTGAATAGTGTAAAATTATCAACGTTGCAACTAAAAAACAGCGGAGGATAGTACTAAATTGATTATGTTATTCAATCAAACTGCTTATTCAATACACAAAATAAACAATTTCATATACAAATACTCCCTCCGTCCCAGGGAGAAGTTCCCAATTTCCTTTTTTGGTAGTCCCAACAAAAAGTTCTCATTTCCCTAAATGGAAAGTTATCCTACATCAAAACAGTGTCAAACAGTGCAAAACAGTGTCAAACAGTGTCAAAACAGTGCCAAACAGTGTCGAAACAGTGCCAAACAGTAAAATTTACCCCTCTGTAACTTTATTTCCTAAATATGTGTGAAAGTCAACCCGGGAACTTCTCCCTGGGACGGAGGGAGTATCATTTAATATCCAAACAGAGGTCTTAATCAAGACATCTTTTAATTAAAAAAAGTAAATTGTCCCTAAAGCCACTATGGAGACATAGAGTAAGTAGAAATCCATTACCTACAATAGGTATATACATAACTAGAGCCTTGGGAAATTATCAAGAGGTTTGGACCAACAAACAAATATGGTCAAGGGATTTGATTATTTTCATATGAGTAAAACTAGCGGTACACCTATACGATGCACGGTGAGTACCAATATATAAAATAACATTTTCTTACAAAGAATATTAATCGAAAAATGACTATAAGTACGTAGTGTGAGTTGATATGAAGAAGCACGACATTGGACATCAAAGCAATGACATTGAATGAATACAGCTTATCATGGCAGTTAACACATTTTTTTAGAACATGGTTGTATTGAATCACAGTACTATATATATATAAATTTTGGAATACTTCTTTGTAAACAATATTTATCGTCTCATCTTCCGGGTCATCATTGTTATTTGAAATAAGTATCTTCAAACCACTATGGTTAGCTACCCTAAAAATTGCAAAATATAATTAACCATGGTAGAAGACAAACTTTACAACAGTAGACCAATTTGGGAGGGTGTGTGTACTTGACTTTTATGTATCGTCATAGCATACGAAGTCTTGGACATTGATGGAATTGTTTAAGCTTTGCAATCCGCAAACTCCTTAGATCATAAGACTCTTCAGAATTGCTTAAATTTTACAATCTTATGTTCTTAGTTAAATTCAGCATTGTGCAATCTCCCCACAAATATAAAAATTTAATGGTCACATTAACAATTACCTGTCTACTATCTTGAGAAAAAACAAACAAAACTTGTCGAAAATCTTCCTTGAAAACAATTGTATTTCGACCAAGTGGCCAACAAATGGCCAACTTTGCCCGTTAGGATTGGCAAACTTGAGTATGTCACATGGAGTTCTATCTAAAGCTTCAGAACAATACTTATGGGGCATCATGATAAAACGGGAGTGTGAGGTAAAGAATTGCCAAAAATAGGATTTTCGCTTCAGTTTTCTCCAAAAATGGTAAGAACTAAAAAAGTTTGTTAATTTTTAGTTTTGATTTTCATTTCTTATTTAATTTCGACTTCATGTAATCTTTTTGTTCCAGGAAATATTAAAAAAATTGACCCAAAAGTGCTGCGTAGTATTTTTTTAATTATGCTTGGCCGACTTTCCCGGTGGTTGGTACTTTGCTAACGGATATGAAGATCAAGTTTCAGATTTTCAAGGATCTTATGACTTCACTATAGAAATCGGGTAAAGAGGTTTCTATCCAAGAAATTAGTGAAAAAAGATATCCCTTTACCTTTTACCATAGTGTGGATATGAAACGTGTTTTAGATGGTGGCCCATAGCTATTTGAAAGAAATCTGTTGATTTTAAAAGAGGTTAAACCGGAGGATATCTCACTCAAAATTGATCTCAAAGAGGTGGAATTCTGGATTCAAATTCATAATGTTCCTTATAGCTTGATTAATCTAGGATTGCTAGAAGAGTTGTAATTTTTATTGGTAGTTTTGTTAAGTGTGATGATAGTCAATTTGATAAAAAAAAAGGGAAGCATACTTGCGAGTAAGGGTTTGTATGGATGTGGGTAAACCCTTGAAGAAAGGAACAACTCTTAAGAAAGCAGGAATTGAGCATTGGGTGGATTTCAAATATGAAAAGTTGTCCAATTTTTGCTTCATTT